ATCGTGTTAACCCAAATGAAGCATTCCGCATTATTTATCAGGTCCCCCCGAAACGGTCTAAAAATGCTAAAATGCGTACGTTGACCATAGCCGTATTAAACATTTGACCCCCGAACAATGTGCCCAGAAGCGTCTTATATAAGCTCTCCATCTGCCCTGGGTTCGCGAACCCACCCCTCCCCCGTGCCCACACATACATTTTCACACAACACCAAGCCCTCAGAACTGGGTCACACGACCAACGTGTTATGTCACATAACGGAAAACCACGGAAGCACAGATCTGAGAATGAGGTGTGCAACACACACACATACACACGCATACACGAAGTGACCGATTCCTCACATTTTATTGTTCTCTTCCTAACCCCTAGGAGTTTCCCCCTCATATAAACTGCAACGGCATGATTGTATTATTGAAAGCAATTGTTCGCCTCAAGTTATGTTCTAAATACCGTTCATTTAACGCGGAATTTAAATGAAATAACTCGTGTACTCATTTCATATCGGAGAAACTTAAATATTTTATGATTCCCTAAACTTAACATCAGAACAGTGCAGTCTACATTCTACTCTTTCACTTGCAAGTGCCTCTTCATCCCGAAACTAATCAACTTTTCAAGGGACATTTTTTTAACTCAATTACCGAATTTTAACTTTGAATATTGCTCCATTCCATTGAGATGAAGGGTGACCATAGAAATGGGTACACGGCGCCCACCATGATCTACAACGGTTCTGGCGGTAATGACTTCACGAAAAAAGCACAGATTACGATTCAGACTAGATAGTATATAGGCGATTTAATGCTTGACTTGCTAGCAAAACCACATTCGAGCGNCCACGTAACCGAAAACCAGTGAAGTATCTGTTACTGGGTAGTAGTAGTAGTACACATTTTTTTATTATCCAAGCTCCCGCTACACAATTTATTGATGCTTTTTTGGTGAAAAATGTGTAGCATAGTTTCTGCAGATATCCATTCGTTCGTTCGTGTTTGTTGTTGCCGTGGCGTACTGAAACCGATCGGCGCATTCGTTATAACTAGCGTTGGTCGGCATCGTACCGCCGTTATTAGACATGACCCTAGTGAGTGATTAAGCTCAACACGTGATTACCTTGTAGAAGTGCAACGATTAAACACAGTAACGGGCAGGTTGGACACAGATCGCGAATGTTGTGATGAGTTTTGACGAGTGCTGAAGCAAGGACAGCTGTGATTATCGTTCAACCTTTCACACAGACGAGTAACACTAGGGCGTCCTAGAGAAACCATCCTTAGAAAATATCGGAGAAGCAGCTTGGGAACAAAGTTATCATGCCTATTTTGAGGAACCGTAATGGTACGGAAGGCTTTTACCATACATAAAATAGATACAGCGTAGAGTTTGAAGTTTTCCAAAAAACAATGATAATAAATTTCTATAATTATGCTCCCACAGAACAATGACGCGACCATTTCTTTGGAATCCTTGGCACGCCTGGTCCTTTGAGATTTAATGTTCTTTCTTGGAGGTGCTTGTAATATAAAGCTGTTTCATCAGCATTGAAAATATCACAATCCATATATCCATGGTTCATTTATGATAACTCCGATTGAAAGTCATTCACTCAGTTTCAGTTTTAGCTTCATTTTTTACAATCATTGACCAAGAACTTTTGCACAATGGTTTTCTCTACTGTCTGTTGACTCCCCATTTGGATGCAGTAGAGTGGAACGGAATGCTAAAATCAATGTTACGCTGAAAACAAAGAATTTGTGAAGTCTAAGGTTGCAAAGGCACTGAGTAGATGCACGACTGTCATTGTTTATGAAACTCCGCCATATGACTCAGTGTATAATTATCGGGTACCCATTGAGGAAGACCAATGTGTCCTATGTGAGCAAATTTCCTGATCAGGAAATTCGTCCACTACATCTCGTAGTACCGTCAAAAATTCCCCACAAAACCTCAAAGTTAAAATGCGTGAGTAGTTACTTGTTTCCTACTGTGCAGGACCGAACGCCACATCTGTCTGACAAAGAGCACAAGCAACCTTTGGAAACCTTGAAGTCACCACGATGTATTTTCGTGCCACCATGGGGAAACCACCGTGCTTTTCCCTCATAGCGGCAGACTATACCAAGTTCACCTCATTAAAGGCAGAGAATTCTTCGTTGGTATTCGGGTGGTATCCTTCCTGAGATGCACCAGCGTTGACGAATTCTCAGGTCTAAGTTTTATGTTTGAATTGCGGAAATTTCAGCAACCTCAGAGGGCTTCGAAAGCATTCATGGACGCAGTCTACGCCTTTTGTACAGTGCGCGCTCTACCAGCTGAGCTATTACATAACGGAATAAGTAACCCTACCATTCACTGAATTCGAAGGAAAACCTGTCGTGACAGCCGGCCTACACGATCCCCGTAGATTCTATATGCCCCTGTAAGTTGAATGAGTAATTCAGATGTGAGATCTTAAAATCGCCCGATCGGATGATACTGTAAGCGGTTTTCCTAGAAGTATCAAGTGATGTTGCCAAAGAACTGTCAGTTTCACCTGGCTGATTCCGCATTTTCAACACATTCTCTCCGATAGATAGGCGCCTACATATTGTCACATCAAATGACAACATCTTGGACTGCTGAGATCTGTATGTCTTCCTCAAAAGGTTATCCAATCAGTGAACAGCGTCATTTGTGCGTTACGAGGTCAGGAATTATTGGCTGAATAGGTCAGTCTCCTGGTTGACCAACTGGTAAATCGGTCAACAACCAAGTGAGTGAGTATTGACGGGGTGACATTGCACAGTCAGAAACCACGTTATTATTTTTGCGGTTGGTTTGAGTTTGCTAAAATTGGGAACATATTGGAACATGCGACTTCTCATTAATTGTAGATAGAAAAAAGTTGTCCACCAAACTTTTCAGTTAAGCTAGTACGTTACATCTTCATGCAATTTCCTGTAAGATCAGCTTCTTCAGAAAGAAGTTCTCGAGAGAGGCAGAATAACCAAAAATACGTTCATAATTCGTGAGCGGTGCACACTTTGGGGGTAATGAACAAAAGCTTACTGCTGTATCGTCGCATTTGCTCCACAGTTGTACGGATCACGGCCGGGAAATAAATCCGGGAATATTTGGGTGTTGTGAGGAAAAAAGATAAGGACAGTCCGAGAATAGGAAATGGACCGAACTAGAGTGATGACATCATCAGAAATGAAGTCCACAGAGAAGATGAGTAGAGCTTTCTCGATGTCACGTACACGACTGAATGATTCAATCAAAGCATGCAGATTCTCCATTCGTCTGTGCACCTGTGGTAATAAACAAGTAAAAGGGGGCAAGCCAGGTGCTGGCGTTATAACAGGATATGATTTCNTGTGCTCTCTCGTAAAGGTCGTATCGCACACGCCGTTTGTTGATGTCCCACTTGTGCCCTCGGTCAAGCACAGTAGTGTCAGCCTGTTCTTTGTGCTTTTTTGTGCTGGATTCACTGTGTTCTCTGTCGGAGCTGCGCTTGTGAGTATCCAGTGTACTTTTGGTGAGTGTTATTATGCCACATAAAATATTCGGAAACTCGAGTTCGGGTATCCGCCTAAGGAGCGATGTCTTCAGTTTCCCCCGAAGAGGTTATGGACCGTCACCCACGCTGTTCAATCAAACAATGAATCGTACCTTCGCTGATTACCGCAAGAAATAACTTGGGCCGAAAAACTGGATGGTGGACATCGAGTTTACAGATGGCATCGTCGTTCTCCAGAACATTCCGAACAACCTTCAGTCCGTACTTGACTGCAACATCCGTTTTGCTAAGTAACTTGGCTTAATTGGCTTAAAAATAATTACGTCACAAACCAACTCCAGGTTCAATGCTGTTAGAACTTCAGTCTGTGAGTACTTGAATCAATTACAAATAAAAATGCTAAGATGGTATCTGTTATTGATTAAATATTTCTTTGAAATGCGGATGTGTCGGTGTACATTAACCACTACATGATTATATCAACTATCAGTGGATGTGAAAAGCGGGTTGGTTATCAGGGTTGAGTACTTTTATAGCCGGTGTCGTCATAACGCCTCGTCTTCCAGTGTAATGGAATATGAAACCATCGTGCAAAATAGTTTCCACAGCCGGTTTTAGCAGTTTTAGGATCAACTAACTTTTAAATGAATCTTTTTAATCAGTTACAGTGTAAACGTCGATGTTACCCAATACAACTCACTTGAACAAGGAATACAGCATCAGGACTGGAGGTTAAATGCGGTTCCCTGGGCGAGGGTAAACGACCAAAAAGCTCCTCATTCGTCACAAACTGTTCAGTGTTAGTTTTGTTGATCAAGCTGAATAAGAAAGCAATAGACAAATCGTGCGTCGGTTGCGTTTTTTCCTATTTAGGAGTGGAAGGAGCGAAAAGAGGAGTTAAGATGTCGAAATGAACACAGTTTCTGGCTGGACGAATCTCACGATCAGCAGAAGTTAACAGTTTCATGAAAAAACGTTGGCGATCATGCCCCTAGAAATCTTCATTGAAATCTCGGGAACCATGAGTGGTTTGAATCGCTTCAAGTGAGACAGTGACCGATTCTCAACAGAATTCCCTGCATCCAAATTCACTCCCTTCATAAACGTATTTTCTCGCACACACTTGGCGGAACACTTCGAGGCACGATTTGGCTATCCACAAGCGTCAAATTCTCACAGCTATTCCGATACACGTCCCAGGGACGGGTTCAACAGTCCGCCTTATAGGGTGGAAAACTACCGGTGAACTGCTGCCGCGTAAATCTCATTCTACAGGAAACATCGTGCCGATACCAATGGTTTCTAGAATTATGGATCAGTCACGCTTCTAAACCCATACGGCCAACACTATTATCTAAAATTTAAACAGCAACGAAATGAAAATTCGTAATGTGGAATTGCACTAAATTCTCTTTTATTTTAACGCAATATACCGAAAAATATTTTCACCGCGATAAAGTATTGCATTCCCTGGATTTAGCATTTCGTTGAAAAGGTGCATTGGTTATTGTGTTCATACTTTGGCAAGGCAACAGCTAACGGTGATGAATCAGCAGTTGACATAACGATGATGGAAACCAGGGGTCAGGCAAAATGGTCCCGCTAGTGGCTATATGCTTACGTCACTCGCACGGACCTTCAAAGAAGACGAGCAAACATGTTTGTACAAGTTTCCTTCAACTATGGTGCGTTGAAAGCAGCGTCCTGAAAACGACGAATCTAGAATTCAAGTATCTCATCAGAGCACTTTTAACACCCAAGACAACCAGACGGTGGACCATGACCAGATCCACCCTAGCTCGACATATCAAGCGGAAGCAGTTGTTTTTGAAAACCAACACAGAGTATGCTGAGAAGGAACTTGTAAGATGAAGTGGGCAATCCAACTGGTATTAAAGCCGCTTCTTGACTAGACTTGACTATTAGGCTACCTTAAATGGGCAAAGTTCTCGAGGGTTTGTTACGTTAAAAACAGCCATTTATCGAAATATCAACACTGAAATTAAAAATGATTTGATGAAATTGCGGATGTTTATTCGATTGATCTTTAGATTTCAGAAATGGCAATAAAGAAACCACAAAAACCTGAATTTGTACTTTCGGTTCTCTGTAATGCGTTTCTTTCCATCTTTCTCATTTGTACCCAAATCCTCACGTTTATTGTTATGGTTTTCACAAGCAGATGCAACACATGTTCCAGTGTGACACATCACTCAGCGAACAGAAAACTTTTGACTTCAGTTGTTTCAAATCAGCAAAACAGAGTTTCAAAGGGATAACGATACAAGTGTAAATGAGTAGGTTATGAAGAAAACCTTTTCTGAAACCGCTCCTTTCTATCTGTCGCGGAATATATTTGCAGAATGCGAGATCTGTTTTACCCAAGTATGCACACTGCAAGGTGAGGCAACCCTGGGGTTTTAGTTTTTATAACTATTACTGATACACCGTCCGGTCGTTTGGATTCCTATCTTTAGGTAATACTACGGTACAGCGAACACGAGCCACTAGGAAGTATTGCCCATTAGTTCATTTGATCGGGTATTTCAACTTCGGATTTGAATGTTAAATGCACCTACTTTGTCGAGGCTAACATCCATCCGAACACATCCTTGCTTGGTTTTTGCGCAGTCTAATTGTGTCGAATGCGTTAGTGCTAACATACTAATACTGCGTCCGTGTATTTCTTGTGCCTAATGGAAATACCTCAACTCACTTGAACCAATCTTGGCTTACCACTTGAGAAAATAACTTGAATCGAGATAATCAAGTAATCTTATAAGCAAGACATTTCCCGCATGACAAGATGTCCATCAATTATTACGACAAGTATGATACCCACCAAATTTAGGAAATCAACAGACTAACACACCAATGAAAGACAAGTTCCTTGTCAACTAACCAGAACAGAGTGAGAAATACAATCATTTGTACTCCACGTAATATTGCCGTTTAGCAATGGATTGGAGATCAATGGTTCGCTGAAGTAAACCCAGGTACGTCGCATAACCAGCAAAACTATGCCAGTAATGAAAATGAAACCGACGCGTCCGATACGTCTCTGCATCAACCGTCGGAATCTCCAGCTACACAGGAGGAACGTAGAACAGAAGGATGCTGTTAAGCAATTTAAAAGAAAATAATTTTCAAAGAGAACTGCCAACACCGGCAGCAAATCCGTCAATCTATCACAATATCAGATCAAAATTTGGAACGGATGTTATTGAAGTAATTGTGCGTCATGCTCATAGTATTACATCCGTGAAGGAAAACGTTTGGAGGTTGACTCGCATGTTCGCTTGTTAACTGACTTGATAAAGGCCTTCCAAGAGGGTCGAAACGTCTTCACCAAAAAATAAACTTGTTTTCGGTTTTTTCATCGTCATGGCTAATCCAAACGGTTTCCGTTAATCTATCAGTTGGTAATTTTTAGTGTTGCCTGTACGTTTTGATTACACACCTTGAAAATTACGCAAACCATTGCTACCCTTGTTGGTAATCGTAGATAGAAGCAGTCTAACGTTGGGTATTTATCGCATTTTAGGAATGAAGGGTTGGACGTGGGACTATACTCCCTTGTGTCCATGTCCGTAGTGAGGGACGACCGACACCTGACTGTGTGAACACGACCAGCTGCACTTTGATCGCGCAACTCCCTGTCTACAGTTAGTTGTGTATAATGCTGTACTGGCACTGATAGGAAAGAGAAATCAAACTTGCTTGCATTTTGTGGCCTTTATATATATATATATATATTCTGGAGAGCATACACAATCTGATAAAAGAATATCCTCGTCTTCCAGAAAGAACAACACTGTTAGTGACTGAAATTGACATGGAAACATACATACAGTTTGACGGGAGGACAAATCGAGAGATGAAGAGCACCCCAATGAGATCACCAACCTCCGGCCTACTAGCTGATGGGGTGATGAAACCACTTGAAGCAAAGGCATTTGAAGAATATCATCCTCGCCTCTGGATCCGATATGTGGACGATACCTTTGTGCTGCTACCAGCAGAAGTAACCGAACAATTCCATGATGATACAAACAAAGTTATGCCAGGGATAGCATTTACCCGCGAGGAGGAAAACGATATGAGATTCCGTTTCTTGGACGTCCTCGTCAAACGAAAACCAGACGAAAACACAGAAACCATTGTGTACAGGAAACCGAAAACAACAGATCATTTGCTAAACTATGACAGCGATCATCCCATGTGCCACCTAAGTAGCCGCGTGTACACTTTGTGCGGACATATTGCAGCACAGAAGAAGAATGCAATTGTTCCATCAGTTCCATACAAATGGATACCCCGAAAGTCTCGTCCAACCATGCCTTAGAGGAAAAAGAAAATTAAAGGATGAAGAGACGAAAACGAAACTCTTAGGGGGTATCAGACTCCGTCGATCGCATTATTCGCAATTTCCGCGTTACCTTTGACCACAACAATACTGCGATCAAAGTTCTTTAACAAGAAGGACCACGTAGAACCACAAGACTAATCACGGGTGGTATACGCAATTTCGTACCCACTGCGACTAACGATACGCAGGAGACAGGCAGACAACTGTGCATAACACAAATATACACTTGCACCACGACACGCCGACCCGAAGTCACACCTCTGTAACCACACTGCGATGACATGTCACGAGGTCAGAATCAACGGGCTTGGAAGATATTCGTCACCATCATCATCATCGTACAGTGAAATACATTGAAGTGAACTTCACTGATCGTTGCCAAACTAGGAATGCATACAAGGTTAGTGGTAAATTTTAAGGTGGAAAGAGATTGGACAAACTTTGAGGGAGAGAGAAGAAAGTGAACTTCTA